ACAGAGCGAGACTCTGCCTCAAAAAACAACAACAACAACAAAAAAAACCAAAAAAACAACTTTGACCCGGTAATCTCACTCCTAGGAGTCTATCCTTTGGAAATAAAAACTTCTTTTTTTTTTTTTCCTGTTTAGACAGAGTCTTACTCTGTTGCCCAGGCTGGAGTGCAGTGGCATGATCTTGGCTCACTGCAAACTCCACCTCCTGGGTTCAAGCGATTCTCTTGCCCGAGCCTCCCGAGTAGCTGGGACTACAGGTGTACGCCACCATGCCTGGCTAATTTTTATATTTTTAGTAGAGACAGGGTTTCGCTATGTTGACCAGCCTGGTCTCAAACTCCGACCTCAAGTGATCCACCCACCTTGGCCTCACAAAGTGCTGGGATTACAGGCGTGAGCCACAGCACCCGGCCAGCATTTTTTTTTTTTTTTAAGAGATAGGGTTTTACTGTCTTGCTATGTTGCCCAGGCTGGAGAGACTTGAACTCCTAGGTTCCAGCGATCCTCCTACCTCAGCCTCTTAAGTAGCTGGGACTATAGCTGTGCACTGCCACATCCAGCTGCTGTTTTTTAAATTCTCGGATATGTTCTTTTTTTTTTTTTTTGAGATGGAGTCTTGCTCTGTCACCAGGCTGGAGTGCAGTGGTGCGAGCTCAGCTCACTGCAACCTCTGCCTCCCAGGTTCAAGCAATTGTCCTGCCTCAGCCTCCTTAGTAGCTGGGACTACGGGCGCACACCACCACATCCGGCTAACGAATATGTTCTTAAATCTATGTCTCCTTATATATTTTCTTCTCCCTACCAGACTTGACTTTTAAACAGTATAACCTCTGTTGTGAGTTGAATTGTGAACCCCCGCCCCACAAAAAATATGATTACGTCCAAACCCTTCTCCCCGTACCTATGAATATGATCTTATTTACAAATAGGGCGTTCGCAGATGTAATGAGTTAAGATGAGGTCATACTGGAGTAGGGTCATATTACGGAATGTAACACAACTGGTGATCCTTGAAGAAGATGTAGGGATCTGGACACACGCAGGGAGGATGCTGCGTGAAATGATACAGAGACGAGTGATGCGTCTACAAGCCAAGGAATGCCAAGGACAGCCAGCGGCCACGAGAAGCTAGAAAGGATCCTTCCCAGCCGGGTGTAGTGACTCACACCTGTAACCCCAGCACTTTGAGAGGCAGAGGCGGGAGGATCACTTGAGGTCAGGAGTTCAAGACCAGCCTGGCCAACACAGCGAAACCGTGTCTCTACTAGAAAATACAAAACTTAGGCAGGTGTGGTGGTACATGTCTGTAGTCCCAGCTACTAGGGAGGTTGAGGCAGGTGGATTGCTTAAGCCCAGGAGGTTGAGGGTGCAGTAAGCCACTGTACTCCAGCCTGGGTGACAGAGCAAGACTCTGTCTCAAAAAAAAAAAAAAAAAGATCCTTCTCTAGAGCTTTCAGAGACAGCATTGCTCTACCTTGCAAGATGGTGAGAGAATGCAGCCACTCAGTTAGTGGCAATTTGTGACAGCCCCAGGAAATGAATTACAGGGTCCTTTCCCCATCAGATGGGGTCCTCTGGGAGGACAAGAATGACATGCGATGCTTCCCCTACAGCACATGATTTGGGGCTCTCCTGAGCACAGCCGTTGGCTCTGCAGGGTGAGGGTGAGAGCAGTCAGGAAGGAATCTCTGGCCGGCACTTTGGGAGGCTGAGATGGGAGGATCGCTTGAGGCCAGGATTTTGAGATCAGCCCAGACAACATGGTGAAACCCTGTCTCTACAAAAAATACAAAAGTTAGCCAGGTGTGGTGGTGCGTACCTGTAGTCCCAGCTACTAGGGAGGTTGAAGTGGAGGATTGCTTAAGCCCAGCAGACAGAGGTTGCAGTGAGCCGTGATCATCCCCACTGCATTCCAGCCTGGGCGACAGAGCAAAACCCTGTTTCAAAACAACAACAACAACAACAACAACAAAATGCAAGAAAGAAGTGACAAGTTGATTCCCCTAAACCTCTCCATGAAGCAGTACTTCTTCTCTCCTATGGAGACACAGTGCTTACAGCTTCCTCTTAACACATCCTTCTCTGGACCTTAGTCCTCAGTGACAGAACTGTCCCAAGCA